TGCTTTGAAATCATCATTGAGTGAGCAAGTTCTGTGTCTGCAAGAGTTAACTGCTGATTTACGAGTTGAGGGGTCTAACGACCAACTTGCTAAATTTAACCCAAAATAAATAAAGAATTGCTTCCAAGTCCATTGCTCTGACCTAAATGGTGCCATTCCAGTGCCAAGTCACACGTTTTCACTGTTTATTTGGCAAGCCCCAAATACTGCGGTCATCGTTTGATTTGTGGTGTGCACAGTAGACCCATAGGCTCCCATGTCACTGGTCCAGAGGCGGCCTTTGTAATTACCTCTCTTATACACACACAGGAGCTCGCATTCACATTTATGGCTTGCAAACCATTAACCAGGAGGACTGAAAACAATAGGTGTTCACTAATGACCCACAATATCCACTTTGCAAGCCATTTGTTATGGTGGGTTATTACCCTCAATTGTATCAGGAGACAGAAAAGCAAATGCCTTCAATGAAGAGGTTTCTCTCAAGGATGGGAACCAAATGTAAGAAGACCCTGTGGACTTGTCTTGGGAAGTTTCCCATGCGAGATTTATCGACATTGACAAGAAGTGTCATATTGATTTGTTTTGAGCTGTAGCGGTGTAACAGCTCAGTGCTTTAGATAATGCAGTGTTGTGTACGCTAACAGACGTTCGTTCATGCAGGTCATGGGGAAAGATAAGTCCCAGTACGCAGTCGGTCCTCTTCTGACTGTTATATGGTTCGCTAGGGAAGCACCTCTCTTCCTGAGAAGATGTCCTGTGCTAGCCAATATTATTAAGATGTATGATTTCGTCATGTATGAGTGCCACATTGTCATCTTCTGGTTCTTTGTCATGGAGTGAAATCATACACTCCAGAATCTTTAACCTTCTCCTACCTTTAACTTTCTCTTACGCCTTTCTTTAGAGTACTCAAGTTTGTCCGAAACAGATCTGGGAACTATGTCAGACCAAACAAAGAAAATTAAACAATACAGAAAAGGGTTGTGTATCATTGTGTTAATTGAATCACTGGTTCTAGCTCACCCCATCATCAAGCCATTTGTACCACCTTGGATTATTAGGCCAGTGGACTTTTGAGGAGCACAGCATTCAGAATCCTTCCAAGATCCAAGATTCTTGGATTAAGTAAATTAACAATGACAATTCTCCATCCCAGTCTAAAGAACAGACATTATCTCAGACACTTGGGAAGAAGTCCTGCCATTGAACTTGCAGGTGTAAGAAGAGCAGAAGAAGCCCCATTAGGAGACTCAGGAGGCCTCATGGAATGACTGCTAAAACTCATCTACCTATGCAGTGAGGTCACGCATGTTTCCAAGAGACCTAGGCCTTTTATGTATGGACTTCACTTCTGTGTCCATTAAAATCACCTCCAGAAGAATCACCTCCAGAAAAACTAAGCGGTTGAGCTCTTCGTTATCAATTATTATTGTTTGAAGCCTGGGATATCTTGCTTTTATATAATTAAATTCTAATCTAATATAGAGTACTTCACATCTATTAAGGTGTGAACTGTGCAAACTCGTCATTTGACTTTCAACGCTAAGTGATTCCTTGTTAATAAATTATACAAATTACAGGATAAATAAGCTGTAACTAAAACAGAGCATAGAATCGATAACATAAAAAATCACACGTTAACGCTAGCTGCAATGTTTGTTTTTAACCACCTTAAAGGAATGCTATAGCGTACAAGAATTACAAACGTATTATTAATGCTATCATTTTAGTTTATTAACATTTATTGATTTCAATATTCTATTCTGGTGCCCCCTCACTGTGTGAGATTTACTTACCTTTCAGCCCTCGCTGCACCTGTCTCCATCCTGACGCATCTTTGAGTTAGGTTATCAATGTAGATGATGTCAGCTAATCCAATGTTTCCCCATATGGAAACATTGGAAGTCTAGTGCGCATGTATGGCAAAAAAACCCTCTCCTCCAATCAAATGGTCTCTGTGAGACTGTCTGACTGAAATAGCAGAGTCTAACGCAGCTATTGGGGCAGGAGATGTCTGATTTCAGAATAAAAACTACAGGGACATGGCAGCAGGACTATTTACTGAGATGAGTGGATTTAAAGAAACACACACAGTGCAATGTCCTATACTGGGGACTGAACATACCAGGTTAATGACAAAACTGTTACCACTTAGCATCGTCCGTGCACTTATGTAACCTCAAACTGTCACCAAGTATCCTGTAAGGCGTCCTCTTTGTTTTTATTCGTTAAGATATTGGATAATTGGGCTCGAGATAAATAATGAAATCCCAAGTAATACTAATTATTAAAATGATTACATTTTCTAACTAACACGTTTACCGTCTGATACGTATTGGTGAAATTTGGATTATTTAGCATTCTATCCGTGTTTAGTTATACTTCATACAGGTTCCAAAAATGCTGCGAAAAACAGAAATTAGATTTTCATACACAAAAAATGCATGACAAAAATAGATCTATAAAAATGGTTAAATACCCTAGGGCTCGTGTAAGGAATATATTGGTGTTGTTAGGAATGCAGATTCCCCAAATTCCAGCAGTTGATGATTCCATGGACATTCCCTATGCTTCTTTCCCAGTGACATTCACTAGAAACCGGTGTCCAAGGGACCCCATGAGCTGCTCCTGTCTGCACCATCCAGTGGACCGCGTGCATTCAGCGCTCTCCCGTACGTCTACATAGTGCTAATTCCTATATATAGTAATAGTGGAAACTCTAGCACAAAGCGTATGTTAAACAACTAGGTTTTATATAATGACCACTCATTATAGTCCCTAGAAACCCATCTACAATAAACATTAAAGCTGTCCTTATATAGGGGGGGGGAGATATTGTGCTTTTATTATAGAGAGTTTCACTCTCTTAGTATAAGTATATTTTATAGAAAGACTATTATTGTACAATCACTTGGCATGTATGCCTATCACTATACCATCTTAGAGTGCATGCGCGAGGTATGTTCACAGTTACAGAAATACATTCTAGGTGTCTATGTGGAAATAGGCTCACACCCATCAGGTTCATCCTTGTAACCCATTCCTTTACAACATGTTCACATATCTATTATATTATTGAATATTCTGTTTTTGCAAAGTATCAGCTAAGCCATTCTTAAAACATATCTATAAAATCTGATAAGACAACCTCTTTAGGCAGAGAATTCCACATGTTGATTGTTCTTAATGTAAAGAAACCTATTTGTCTTCCTTAAAATCATAAACATCAGTGTTTTCAGCATTATTTCATATACATATATATATACGCACGTCAGTCAGTCTGTCTGGTTGTCTGTACACTCATACCCATAATGCAATGCGTGTGTGTAAAATAATATCAATTCTTTCTTTCTTTTTTTCAGTATTTTTTTCCCTAAGGATTTTAATATTTTAAAATTCAGTGCGTATTATTTCTCACCTAGGCGCTGCCTTTATTTATTAAATTTTTTTTTACATCTGGACAATTTCACATTCATTTTTACCGTGCCAATTTCCATATGCCCTGCTTGCGATGCCAGCTGCTCGCGGCTATAGGAATTGATTCACGTACCCCCAGGCTGGCAAGAGCTGCTTATTTAAAGGTTACAGAGAGTGTGGGACGCGCCGTGGACACAAACACAGAAAACAAGGTGCCTGTCGATGTTAAAAAAAAAAAAAGAGGGGGGCGGGGGGGACAAGCAAGCAAGCAAGAGGTTTAGAAAGGGAAAGTAGAAAAATGTGGCAGTTTTAATTAAATTCCATTAAAGCGCTCCTTCCCTGCTACACTTTGCTAGCATGTGCTGTACATTCTCATGCTAATTGTGGGACATCTGTACTGAGCCTCCTTTCTCATCAAAGACCGTCTTCTATCAAAGACGTTCCTGGGAAACCCTTCACCTTCGACCTTTAGGGTCACCCTGAAAACAGTGGCTCTATAGATCCAAGTACTGTACAGCTGTAGTGTCCTTTTAGTCTCGCTATCCATCGGGATCTCATTTTTTTAGGTTAAGGACATCTCAAGCCTGTTCTGTTGGCACTGCCCGCTTGCCGACTTTTCATTCAATCACTGAAGCAATGGGTTCTTTATTTTAAACATCAAACTGTTTCGTTTTAATGTTCTGCCCATTTAGGTTTTCGCTTACATCCCTGATAAAGTCCGGGTCACTTTCTGCGCCCTCTCTCCGTACTGATGTTGACAACGGTACATCTAATTAGGAACATAAAACGGCAAACTTAAATCGCTCTGCATTGCATTAATATATCTAATGGATAAAATTATTCAATGAATTTAAAAATAAATACATTTTGCGGCTATCAATTGTTGCTTTTTTCCACCTATGTAGGTGAAATTTCTATACAGATACTCGGAATACTACTCTTCATTGAATTATTACACCGCAGGTTTTCTTTCACTGGTAACAATACAGATTAATATTCACATTCCCTGAAAAGTGTATAATAATAAACTGATTTGGCATCTAGTCAAAATACAAAAATAATAAAACTGCAAAAGTAAAAACTCTAGAGGAACATATATTGTAAACACTAAAAAAGGTTTATAAAAGAGATTATCAAAATTAATATGAATATAATAATGTCAATAAATTAAGTTATGCAGGATACAATAGAGCAAATGTGTTTTTTTTTCCATTTTTTTTTTCAATATTTGTCATAATACTAACAATGTAACTACTGGTATATTTAAATATTTTATGAATCTTTCTTTTTTTTTGGTATTATACTGGGTGGGTTTATATTATTAAAGGGACACTCCAGGCTCCCACACACGTTAGGTGCACTGTGTAGGTTAGGTTACAGTTAGTTATACTGGGTGGGTTTATATTATTAAAGGGACACTCCAGGCTCCCACACACGTTAGATGCACTGTGTAGGTTAGGTTACAGTTAGTTATACTGGGTGGGTTTATATTATTAAAGGGACACTCCAGGCTCCCACACACGTTAGGTGCACTGTGTAGGTTAGGTTACAGTTAGTTATACTGGGTGGGTTTATATTATTAAAGGGACACTCCAGGCTCCCACACACGTTAGATGCACTGTGTAGGTTAGGTTACAGTTAGTTATACTGGGTGGGTTTATATTATTAAAGGGACAGTCCAGGCTCCCACACACGTTAGATGCACTGTGTAGGTTAGGTTACAGTTAGTTATACTGGGTGGGTTTATATTATTAAAGGGACACTCCAGGCTCCCACACACGTTAGGTGCGCTGTGTAGGTTAGGTTACAGTTAGTTATACTGGGTGGGTTTATATTATTAAAGGGACACTCCAGGCTCCCACACACATTAGATGCACTGTGTAGGTTAGGTTACATTTAGTTATACTGGGTGGGTTTATATTATTAAAGGGACCCTACAGGCTCCCACGCATGTTAGGTGCACTGTGTAGTTAGGTTACAGTTAGTTATACTGGGTGGGTTTATATTATTAAAGGGACCCTACAGACTCCCACGCATGTTAGGTGCACTGTGTAGGTTAGGTTACAGGTAGTTATACTGGGTGGGTTTATATTAATAAAGGGACACTCCAGGCTCCCACACACATTAGGTGCACTGTGTAGGTTAGATTACAGTTAGTTATACTGGGTGGGTTTATATTATTAAAGGGACACTCCGGGCTCCCACACCGTTAGGTGCTGTGTGAGTTAGGTTACAGTTAGTTATGCTACAGATTTGGGTTTATATTATTAAGGGTACTCCAGGCTCCCACGTTAGGTGCTATTATTGGGATTAGGTTTCGTTGATTTGGTGGGGACACCTTATTAAAGACACTCAGGCTCCCACACACGTTAGATGCACTGTGCAGGTTAGGTTACAGTTAGTTATACTGGGTGGGTTTATATTATTAAAGGGACACTCCAGGCTCCCACACCCGTTAGGTGCACTGTGTAGGTTAGGTTACAGTTAGTTATACTGGGTGGGTTTATATTATTAAAGGGACACTCCAGGCTCACACACACGTTAGGTGCACTGTGTAGGTTAGGTTACAGTTAGTTATACTGGGTGGGTTTATATTATTAAAGGGACACTCCAGGCTCCCACACACGTTAGGTGCACTGTGTAGGTTAGGTTACAGTTAGTAATACTGGGTGGGTTTATATTATTAAAGGGACACTCCAGGCTCCCACACACGTTAGATGCACTGTGTAGGTTAGGTTACAGTTAGTTATACTGGGTGGGTTTATATTGATAAAGGGACACTCCAGGCTCCCACACACGTTAGGTGCACTGTGTAGGTTAGGTTACAGTTAGTTATAATGGGTGGGTATATATTATTACAGGGACACTCCAGGCTCCCACACACGTTGGGATTGCACTGTGTAGGTTGGGTTACAGTTAGTTATACTGGGTGGGTTTATATTATTAAAGGGACACTCCAGGCTCCCACACACGTTAGATGCACTGTGTGGGTTGGGTTACAGTTAGTTATACTGGGTGGGTTTATATTATTAAAGGGACACTCCAGGCTCCCACACATGTTATGCACTGTGTAGGTTAGGTTACAGTTAGTTATACTGGGTGGGTTTATATTATTAAAGGGACACTCCAGGCTCCCACACAGTTAGGTGTATGTTAGGTTACAGTTAGTTATACTGGGTGGGTTTATATTATTAAAGGGACACTCCAGGCTCCCACACACGTTAGATGCACTGTGTAGGTTAGGTTACAGTTAGTTATACTGGGTGGGTTTATATTATTAAAGGGACACTCCAGGCTCCCACACACGTTAGGTGCACTGTGTAGGTTAGGTTACAGTTATACAGGGTGGGTTTATATTATTAAAGGGACACTCCAGGCTCCCACACACGTTAGATGCACTGTGTAGGTTAGGTTACAGTTAGTTATACTGGGTGGGTTTATATTATTAAAGGGACACTCCAGGCTCCCACACACGTTAGATGCACTGTGTAGGTTAGGTTACAGTTAGTTATACTGGGTGGTTTTATATTATTAAAGGGACACTCCAGGCTCCCACACACGTTAGGTGCACTGTGTAGGTTAGGTTACAGTTAGTTATACTGGGTGGGACACTCCAGGCTCCCACACACGTTAGGTGCACTGTGTAGGTTAGGTTACAGTTAGTTATACTGGGTGGGTTTATATTATTAAAGGGACACTACAGGCTCTGACACACGTTAGATGCACTGTGTAGGTTAGGTTACAGTTAGTTATACTGGGTGGGTTTATATTATTAAAGGGACACTCCAGGCTCCCACACACGTTAGATGCACTGTGTAGGTTAGGTTACAGTTAGTTATACAGGGTGGGTTTATATTATTAAAGGGACACTCCAGGCTCCCACACACGTTAGATGCACTGTGTAGGTTAGGTTACAGTTAGGTATACTGGGTGGATTTATATTATTAAAGGGACACTCCAGGCTCCCACACTCGTTAGGTGCACTGTGTAGGTTAGGTTACAGTTAGTTATTCTGGGTGGGTTTAAATTGTTAAAGGGACACTCCAGGCTCCCACACACGTTAGGTGCAATGTGTAGGTTAGGTTACAGTTATACTGGGTGGGTTTAAATTGTGAAAGGGGCACTCCAGGCTCCCACACACGTTAGATGCACTGTGTAGGTTAGGTTGCAGTTAGTTATACTGGGTGGGTTTATATTATTAAAGGGAGACTCCAGGCTCCCACACACGTTAGGTGCACTGTGTAGGTTAGGTTATAGTTAGTTATACTGGGTGAGTTTATATTGTTAAAGGGACGCTCCAGGCTCCCACAGACGTTAGATGAACTGTGTAGGTTAGGTTACAGTTAGTTATACTGGGTGGGTTTATATTATTAAAGGGACACTCCAGGCTCCCACACACGTTAGATGCAAAGTGTAGGTTACGTTACAGTTAGTTATACTGGGTGGGTTTATATTATTAAAGGGACACTCCAGGCTCCCACACACGTTAAGTGCACTGTGTAGGTTAGGTTACAGTTAGTTATACTGGGTGGGTTTATATTATTAAAGGGACACTCCGGGCTCCCAGACACGCTAGATGCACTGTGTAGGTTAGGTTACAGTTATACTGGGTGGGTTTATATTATTATAGGGACACTCCAGGCTCCCACAGACGTTAGATGCACTGTGTAGGTTAGGTTACAGTTAGTTATACTGGGTGGGTTTATATTATTATAGGGACACTCCAGGCTCCCACACACGTTAGATGCAAAGTGTAGGTTAGGTTACAGTTAGTTATACTGGGTGGGTTTATATTATTAAAGGGACACTCCGGGCTCCCACACACGTTAGATGCACTGTGTAGGTTAGGTTACAGTTATACTGGGTGGGTTTATATTATTAAAGGGACACTCCAGGCTCCCACACACGTGAGATGCACTGTGTAGGTTAGGTTACAGTAAGTTATACTGGGTGGGTTTATATTATTATAGGGACACTCCAGGCTCCCACACATGTTGGGTGCACTGTGTAGGTTAGGTTACAGTTATACTGGGTGGGTTTATATTATTAAAGGGACACTCCAGGCTCCCACACACATTAGGTGCACTGTGTAGGTTAGGTTACAGTTAGTTATACTGGGTGGGTTTATATTATTAAAGGGACACTCCAGGCTCCCACACACGTTAGGTGCACTGTGTAGGTTAGGTTACAGTTATACAGGGTGGGTTTATATTATTAAAGGGACACTCCAGGCTCCCACACACGTTAGGTGCACTGTGTAGGTTAGATTACAGTTAGTTATACTGGGTGGGTTTATATTATTAAAGGGACACTCCAGGCTCCCACACACGTTAGGTGCACTGTGTAGTTTAGGTTACAGTTAGTTATACTGGGTGGGTTTATATTATTAAAGGGACACTCCAGGCTCCCACACACGTTAGATGCACTGTGTAGGTTAGATTACAGTTAGTTATACTGGGTGGGTTTATATTATTAAAGGGACACTCCAGGCTCCCACACACGTTAGATGCACTGTGTAGGTTAGGTTACAGTTAGTTATACTGGGTGGGTTTATATTATTAATGGGACACTCCAGGCTCCCACACACGTTAGATGCACTGTGTAGGTTAGGTTACAGTTAGTTATACTGGGTGGGTTTATATTATTAAAGGGACACTCCAGGCTCCCACACACGTTAGATGCACTGTGTAGGTTAGGTTACAGTTAGTTATACTGGGTGGGTTTATATTAATAAAGGGACACTCCAGGCTCCCACACACGTTAGGTGCACTGTGTAGGTTAGGTTACAGTTAGTTATACTGGGTGGGTTTATATTATTAAAGGGACACTCCAGGCTCCCACACACGTTAGATGCACTGTGTAGGTTAGGTTACAGTTAGTTATACTGGGTGGGTTTATATTATTAAAGGGACACTCCAGGCTCTCACACACGTTAGATGCACTGTGTAGGTTAGGTTACAGTTTGTTATACTGGGTGGGTTTATATTATTAAAGGGACACTCCAGGCTCCCACACACGTTAGATGCACTGTGTAGGTTAGGTTACAGTTAGTTATACTGGGTGGGTTTATATTATTAAAGGGACACTCCAGGCTCCCACACACGTTAGATGCACTGTGTAGGTTAGGTTACAGTTAGTTATACTGGGTGGGTTTATATTATTAAAGGGACACTCCAGGCTCCCACACACGTTAGATGCACTGTGTAGGTTAGGTTTGTTATATTAATATATAATTATATCTGTATATTGTTTTATTCAGTATCATTATAATGCATTAAAGGGACAGCTCCTGAAACCCTGAGTGACTTTGTATGGGAGGTAAATCCGCACACATCGGAGGGATTTGGGTTAGCTGTCCTTTTTTAGCAGGATGAAATTGTTCAGAAACTAAGTTATCAACAATTGACAAGGCATTAAGAACAAAGAACGGTAGAATATTGTCCCTTTATGATCTGATAAGAATGCGTCAAACAGTTTATTTTCCCCTTGAAGCATTGCCCACAGTCTGTAACATGATCAGTATTTGGCTTTGGTCACTGGAGGCTTATTATTGTCCTAGAATATTGTCTGAGGACAGACACTTTGTTACGAAGCGTTCTGATGTCTGATTAGACTCCTGGAGTGATCCCTAACAGAAGGAACTGTTATATGTGGAGAGTGTTTCTTTACATCCAAATAAAACCTTCATTTAATGTAGAGTACAACAAATATAGAATCTGAGCCTGGTACACAATTCTCATTTCTTTTAATACTTATAGAGGACGTTACATGGACATTTTATATGTATATACCGACATTAATAATAGCCCAGTTATCCCTTTATTAAATCAACAAAGGACAAACATATAGTGT